TATATTTTTATTAATAATTTTTATACGTTATAGACGTTGATTTATCTTCGTATAGTAGTCAACGTAATGATAGGATTATTACTTGGAATGGTATTTACTAGTTGCGGAAATGACGGTGATAGAGTATTGGACAATTATAATCTCCTATTTTCTATACTTATACATCATATGATGACTACTATGATGTTGACTATAGTGACGTGTAAGTTTTCATATTAAAAGTATCCAAAATATTAGAGTGTATCCAAAAATCTAGCGTTTATTATATTAAAACTTCAGCTTTGAAACTGTATAGTAGATTGTTTTTGAAAATGTACTTTATTTAATTAAGAATATTATATATATCTTAAATATTAGTTAATTGTAATAATCTGTTTATTTTCAGTTCCAATGCAACTTGATAAACTCATTAAAGAACATTTCAATAGATGGTACAGCTTAAAAGCATTTTACATAACAATTACGTTATTAGATATACCAGTATCAACAATATGTTGTTTCCTATTTTCTGTTATAATATATCCAATATCGTCTCAGCCATTAGAAATCGAAAGGTTCACCATGTTTTTTACAATTAGTTTATTAGTTTCGTTCATCGCTCAAGGTACTGGCCTGATGATTGGTGCAGTATTAAATGTAGTCGTAAGTTAAAGTATTTTTATTAGTTGAATTTTTGTTTAACATGATGATTCATCGAAATGATTAATTGTTAATTAAACTGTGCGTTGGAAAATATTATAATCAATGTAATAATAAATAATTGTAGAACGGTACGTTCGTGGGACCAACTATATCGGTACCTTTGATGATGTTTGCTGGATTCGGAGTATCATTAAAAGATTTGCCAAATTATCTCAAATGGGGTAGTTATGTCAGTTTTTTGAGATATGGATTGGAAGGGTACGCATATTTATATATACAGTTAATCTATATAATGCTTTAAAAAGTTATTGTCAATCTATAATATATGCTTTAATTATTTTAAGCTCGTGTAAGTGAAACACATCATGAAATTCAAAACAATATCTTTAAACAGATTTCAATTAATCTATAATAACCTATAAAAGCTATGGAAATTAAACAATTCTCCCCTCCCCCGGTGTTTTAAACGCAGCCAATTGGAGTACGTTTTATAGATTGACCGAAACTCTTTGGGTATTCTATAGAATAACCAGATAATCTATTAAATACATGATCATTACATGCATTATCTGGAATACATACATAATCTATAACATATATAATATATATATTAATAACATAATAATAATAAAATATAATATATATAATATATACGTTATATAGGTTATGTTTATTGTGTTCATGTTGTATACATGTTCTACCCTAATAGTTATGCAAATGATTTTGATTATTTTAGGTTCGTCGGTGCTATTTACGGAATGGATCGTGCAGTTTTACCTTGCATGAAGAATGAGGAACCTTTATATTGCCATTATAAATATCCTAATAAATTCTTAACAGACATATCAATGAAGGGCGATCAATTTTGGAACGATGTCATTGCTTTATTAATAATACTCTTGATAACACGTGTTTGTGCATATTTTCTACTCAAATGGAAGATTTTTTCTTTGAGATAAAAATTTAGAGAAAATATATATATATATTTTTTTTTCATTTAATTTTGTTAAACAACACCGTGTCTCCATACTTTACGAACTCAAATGGACGTAATATAAATCACGTCATTTATGTTTCAAATCATTTTTCATAATCATTAGATAGGATTTTTTTATTATATAATAATAGTTTTCTAATTATCAATTTAACTTATATCTTCTCACAATAATTATATTATCAACGTCTCATAAATATGTATCGTTTTCATAAATAACTTATTGTTGGGAACAAAAAACGACACAGATATTTGTTCATAAATTTAATAATTATGTATATCATTGGAATCATTCATATATAGTTATATATAT